TCATCATAATAATAGTCTTTGCCTTTGATTTTATGAATCTCTCACACACGTGATTATATTTGACCGTCTGACCAGGACTGTGTGAGGTAGGTGTTACGTAAGTCAGTTTTTCTTAGGAAGGAAACTCCCTGATCAAACAGCAGAGGGATGGTGCGGTCAGACTTCAAACTCCTTATCTTCAGGGAGGGGAACTACTCATCTTTCCAGACTTGGCTTGAGCAACACCTCTTCTGAGTCTGACGGGCTCTCCTCAATCCCAGCCCACCCCAGGAGAAATTGCCCACATCTTCCTTTGGGGCTTCTCTGTACCCAGTACACACAGTGCTGAGGCAAGCATAGAGCAGCAATCCCAAGCTGACAGCTTAAAGCTGCATTGACTCTAGACTTCAGATGTGTCCTGGTGTGTGTGAAAAGCTGGTGAGTCAGCCTGAGTGAAGCCTAGCTGTGTAAGTCTGTGATGTCCCAGGAAAGGATTCATCCATAGAGAAGGACATGACGAGAGGAGGGAGAAAGATGCCAAGGCCATGGAGCAGTGGTGGGCAAGGACTACAGTGTACTCCGTTCACATCCCGTCTGACCCGGCCTCTTGGAGCCTAGAGCGAGGAGGGCACTGCAGTAACAACTTTCATAAAAATCAAGGTTGTTTCATTAAATCTCTCTAAGATTCAGAAAGCACACAGCAAGTCAGCGTGAAGAAGTTCACTCCATGGTTGACTGGAGGTATTACGGGGGTGGGGGGCGGGAGGTAAAGTACCTTCCCCAACATGAGGATCCCGTTGGGACAGAGTTGAGGCAAGTCTGGACAAGAGCTAGAGCAACAGGTCAGACCATTTGCTCTATCAAAAAGGAAAAGGACACTGCGTGCTGGCATCTTTCGACATTTTCAGCAGCAATGGGCCCCTTTGTAGGGCAGGGAGAGACCTCACCCAGGGAGGTGGAGCAGGAAAGAAGTAAATAGCAGCCTCACTGTCTAGGTTAAAGGGACTAGTTTGCAAATAGGTTTACACCCCCTGGGAACTTCAGGAATGCTCAGAGAAGAATGTGAGCTGGTCTGGAGTTCTTACAACATGGGTGGGAGGGATCTGGCTTTACTTTAGGTTGACAAATAGGCCATTAGCCATCATCCTTTGATGATTAATTAGTCTTCTTGTCTCTCCATTAGCTGGAACCCTTAGAGAGAAGAATAATTATGTCATTCATCTCTGCATTCTTAGTATGTCAGTGACTGACTCCTAGGCCCCAAGTTCTTCTTGTTATCCCTCATTGCTTCTAGAAATGTACCACCTGATCTCACTTTGGAGATCCCAACCATACACACTCTCCTGGATTCTCTTAAGACTTACAGACACAACTGGGTTTGGTACCAGTTACCAAACGAGGTAGGCCTAATTCCCAGGTAGAGCAGGAAGGCTTTCAAGGTTCCCAGGAAAACTCTGCTTCTGGCATTACTGGTAAACCCTGACCTTCATTTCTTAGGTGTTGGTCCCTATTCTCGTGCAAAAATCCCTAGGAGGATTAGCTCCTTAAACAGCTGTCGGTGATTCACACACGCTTGCGCCTATGCTTTAGAGGCTATCTTAAGAATAGTTTTTGGTAGGGGGCGCCTGGGTGGCTCAGTCGGTTAAGCATCTGCCTTAGCTCAGGCCATGATCCAGGGGTCCTGGGATCGAGCTCCACATCAGGCTCCCTGCTCGGTGGGGAGTCTGCTTCTGCCCCTCCCTACTGACATACTCTCTTCCCCCCCCCCAAGAAAGTAAACAAAATCTTAAAAAAAGAAGAATAGCTTTTGGTAACTGGAATGGCCTGAGGATTTGAGGAGGGAGAAAAGTGGGCAGCATGGCAAACCTGAGAAAGACAAACTTCACTGGCTTTTCAGCTGTGGTTGAGGCACAGTCCTGCGTAAGCTTCACTTTTTTCCCCTGTCCTCTTCCCTCTTTCCTGCATCTCCACCCAAATTCTGAGCTAAAAGGAAAAAAGTCTAAGGAAGTGAGAAAAGGACCAAGCACACAGCCACAAACTGCCTCTCCCTCAGTACGTGGTGCCTCAGAGTCACTGAAGTCTCTGAAAGGAAGGGATAGGGGTCTCTGCCCGCACAACTGTTCCGCCAGATACCAAAGTTCAAAGTCCTTTAGGTACAGAGAGAATCAACAAGACATGGGGCTCGCTGAGTAGGGCCTCTACCGGTATCTAACAGAGTATCCTAATGCTGACTTTCCTTTTGTAGGCAAACCCACTATGTGAGTGGTACCTATTTTAAATGAATCATATATTACTTATTACTTTTTAAATAGATGCTGAAGAAGTGAGTTCTAAAGAGCTATAAGCCAGTCATTTGGTGGAGAGGACACTGCCAGGCCCGTACAACACCCCTAAGGCCTCAGCAATCCCAGACTACAGAAGAAGCTGCCAACTCCCATAGTCTATGGGGATCAAGATGACTTGATCAACAGGATCCTTCTCTAATAAATCACCTAAAGGCAGAGATAAGATACTCCATTCTCACATCACACACACACACACACACACACACACACACACACACACACACACACAGTCCCATGACTTGAAACACCAGTTCAAACACCAACTCACACAAACAGATCAGACTCTGATGTTAGCTTTATGCTGTGGTGCTGGGGAGCAGCCTTTCACCTCTGAATACAGCCAGGTCCCTTCCATGCCTCTAGGATTTCACTTGACAACTTGGGGAGAATTCACAGCCTCCCCCACATAGTTGACCAGGAAAAAGCCAGCTAGGTGAATGGCGAATGGTTGCTTTCATTCTAATTGTTTTTCTTTCTTTTTTTCTTTTCTTTTCAGCTTGGCACAATGAGGTTTTGATGAAACAGGAAATAAAGGTTTGGGGAAATAAAAAGCTTGACTATTTCATTAAAACGCATCTAAGTGCTTACTCATTCGTATTTCAAAATACAACAAGGAATTATATATATATCTTTTCAGCAATTTTAATAGGTGTGAAGCAATTGTCAATTGAAAAAAGCCCAATCACATATTCTTTTAAATGTTTTGACAGTTTCAGCTTGAAAGTCATTCCCTTTTTCCTGAAAATTTTCCTTTGTCTCTTCTTTACACCTTGCACATAGATACAGGAAGCCTAGGGTTCTCCTTCTAAGGACTCAGGTGCTGGTGTCCTTTACCCTTTATGCAGAGTATATGTGTTTAATTTTGTCCTTAAGACAAATCATAAAATTAGGTGAGGGAGAGAAGTGACTAATCTCTAAATTTGGTTTAACTCTAACATTTTTTTTTAGGTTTATAAGCATGAAACTAATTTACTAACAGAAGTAATGTTAAAAGAGGATGAAGATCCAATGAAAAGAAGGATCATGTCTCCAGGAAGAGGCGACAATATGACTAAGGGAGAATGGGCCAAAGTCTTGTTGACATGCCTGTGTATTTTCAAAGACAAAAATTACACATTCACTTTTCAACAAACTCTGGGCTTTGTGCCCATTCCCTTTCCCAGATATCTCACGGTGTTCTTCTGAGAATAACCTTTAACAAAGATTGCTCTTTGCTCAAATACAGATTAAATGGGAACTCCTAATGAGGGATTTCATTGGCCTGCTTTGGTCCACTTTCTTAGCCATCTACTTTAATTTCTGAATCACATGGGCAAATGCTTCCAACAATAACTTGACAAATCTCTTACCTTTGCCTGCTTGTAAACTGACATCTGCTCTTTCAGCAATAGCCAGAGCCACTCTTCTTTTCCGGGAATGGTTTTCCCCGTCCTTTCTGCCAAACTTCATAGCACTTGTCCACATTACTAGAGTACCTTCTTTTCTCTAAGTGCCATCTTACTAACACTCTGCCACCCCATGAAGTCATAGAGTAAGAAAGAGGGAGACCTGGACGACTATCTATCAAGCCCTCATTGTGCAGATGAGGAAACGGAGGTGTTCCTGTACTGACCCAGGAACATCTGGTGTCCAGGGACTAGAAGCTTTCCAATGTACCACACGGTTTTCATATTCCACACTAGCAATTTCTAGAAAATTGAAGCTAATTTTAAAGGTGCCATTGAAAGTTGCTGTTTAAGGAAACCTACTAAATATTTCCATGAATTTCAAAAATATTTTACCTGTAAAAAAAGAGTTGCTTAAAATAAAGTGCGTGTAACAAAACTGTCCTTCTGCAGGAGCTAGTTAGCAACTGTGTAGTTAAGTAGTTCCTTGAATACCTGAGGCTGCTTCTGGGAAGTTGGCCAGTGCTGTTCAGGTAATTATGCCACTTGAGTTTCTAGTGATTACATTTATGACTTGATTATAAGGTTCTTAAGGACACAGAGGGAGGGTCTTGCCTCATTTGAGATTTCCCTAGTCCCCAGAATGATGCTGAAACTGTTTTTACTGTCCTTCCTAAATAAAGATGCTCTGTTTTGTCCATGTGTTACCACATGACACGCTGTCTCAGAGTAAAGAGGTTGAGGATCCCAACGTTCTAGTAAGAAAGCTTAGAGAGGAGGTTGTTGGCAGTGTCTCCCAGAATTTTGCAACCCTGGCTGTGGGTGGGTTAAGGGTGAGGAGACAGAAGTGAGTCACCAGAAAACAAAAACTCAAGTCCCAAAAGGCAGTTATGTTGGCAAAAACTGGACAAGGCCTGCTTCATAAATTTGGCGATCAACCTGTGTACCAAGTAAAGAATCCTTAGGTGTGAGCAAGTGCAGGCCTTCCCGGGCCTCCATTCCGTTCGCCAATTCTGCACCCTCCTCTGAGCCTACATTCTAGGTACTAGACTTTCACGCAGCCATCTCTGCTCAGCTGTGGGAAGTAAATCTCAGGGTGGGAATGTAGACTTCGCTAACTCATAAAAGAACAAGACTTTCACCCTTCTTCCCGTTCCTCAGCAGCTCCAACCCCGTTCTGCAAACACCTCCCCGAGGAGCCCCACACTGCCTCTGCTAAGAAGGGGCCCAAACGCTCTTGGTAAAACTACTGACAAAGAGGAGGAGGAGAGAGAGCAGGACGTGAACCCACCTCGGCCAGGGAACAGGGCTGCAGAAACGCGCAGGACGGTGGAAAGTTTTTCTCCCCGGCTTCTAATTCCCCCTTGTAAGATGATAGGGAGCTGTAGAAGACGCAAAGACGTCCTTTTAAATCTTGCTTTGGATCCTGGGTGGGGTCGGCGTGCGTGTGTGTACACGAACGGACGGGGGATGCAGCAGGGCGAGAAGGGTGGCGCCGGAGCCTCTGTGCAGTTGGGACCGCGCCCTGTTTCTCCCGGGAGGCCCCTCCCGCCTGGACCTGCCTCTGGAGTGGGCGCCGCGGGCGGGCCCTGCCTGGGAAAGGAGAGGGCCTGCAGACCCGAGGCCCCACGCGCAGCGGCCGCGAGGACACAGCCTCCGGGGACCTCGGGCCTTGGGACACCGGCCCCTGCTTCCGGGAGAGTGGCGGTCCCTCCGAGGTGTCCGCTGGCGGAGTCCAGGCAGTTTCTCCCCGCACAGCTCATCAGCCCCCTCTGGCACGCGTTGGTTCAGCGCACCTCTCTTGTGCAGAACTGTCGGAAAGCGAGAAAGTTTGTACAGAATTGAACTTTTGCACAGTTTCGAAGGAAGGAAAAAAAAAAATTCAAAAGCTAGGGCTCGTCCGGGATTTGAACCCGGGACCTCTCGCACCCAAAGCGAGAATCATACCCCTAGACCAACGAGCCACAACTGTGAACTGTTCCTGTGTTTCCTCTAAACAGTACCTTCCCGTTTGCGGTTGGCCGCCAGACTACTCCAGAGCTCTGTTTCACGTTGTGTCATTTACTTCTTGCCTTGCTTCGCGTTCTCCCATCTTCATGAAGTCTCACTCTTTTGAAGCCTGACTCGGGTCCTAGCCTCGCTTATTCTCCCCGATCCACATCCTGAACCCCTCCAGAGGCCGGATGGGGTGAGGAGGGGCAGTTTCCAGACCGCAGGCCGCGTGGGTGAGCTCCACCGCGCACCTCCGGACCACTCTAGGCGCGAGCTCGAGCCTAGCGGGGGGCCAGGGGGACCTGGCGGGGGCCTGGCCGGGGCCTGGCGGGGACCTGGCGGGGGCCTGGCAGGAAGGCGGCGGAAGTGCGAGGACCCGAGCGGAGCTCGCTTGCGAGGCTGGAGGGTCCTGAGCCCCAGGCTGGACACGCGGGAAGCGTGTCAGGCTGCTACTACGTCGCGCGAGCCTAACATCTTAGGGGCGGGAAATGGTGGGCATCAAAATACCGGGAGCCGGAATCGGTGGGAGGTGCGCCAGTCTGGCGTGTGTTCGGATTGTCCAGGCCCCTGAAGGAGAATCAAGTGTTCTATCTCCCCACCTTTGTTTCACTTGTTTCTTCGGTCTGGAATTCTTTCTCCCAGTCTCAGCCCAACTCGTGTCAAATCCTGTTGCCCTTTCCTGTTCTGTCTCAAAATCTTTTTTTGTAGAACTATAAATATGTGTATAAAGATAAATAAACTAAAACTGCCGTATAATGGATGTGTGTACGGAGGGGTGCGGACGCTCGGGACGAGGGTCCCAGTTTCGGCGATTTCTTCCGCAAACCGGAGCCCCCAGGCCGCACGGCGCAGACATGCGCCCACAGCGTTTATGCATAACGTTCTCTATCAACGAGAGGTTTCGGGTCGCCGAACCGTGGACTTCAGGCAGCAATCGAGGATCAACTAGAAGCCAAAAGAAACATCTGAGGGAATAACTTAGAATTCTTCCAATTGGCTGACAAAGTTGGTGCTCACTCGCCTCCTCGCTATATAAGAAACTGTGCCCAATGGGATCCATTTGTTCACACGTGCTTGACGAGCTCAAACGTTTTCTTTGGGACAGGAATGAGGCTGGAAAAGTCGACTCTAGAAGACAAAGAGCCACGGAGGAAACAAGAGGGCAACGGCTCCCTGGATGATTGCAAGCCCCAAAACGGCAGCTCCTCCTTCGAGCCGGAATCGAACCAGCGACCTAAGGATGACTACACAGGAAGCGCACTACAGTCCTCCGCTCTACCAGCTGAGCTATCGAAGGGGGCACGGAAAGTGTCTCTCTAGAGTCACCCATTCAGGACATCTACAAACAGAGGAGTGTGAGAAACGACCTTCTGGCGGCGGGTGGACATCGAAGAGTCACAAAGCCGGCTTGTGAGAAAGTCCCGCCCGCAGTTCTAGGGACAACCCTTCTAGAGCTGGATTCCCCTACTCCACCGAGGGGAGGGGGGCCAATCCGTGGGCTCCTCACAGGCACCCCGAGACCCCGTGCATCACGAGGCCGCTCAGGGCGGGGGCATCTGCTCGCCCGGGGGCCGTTGGCTTCAGGAGCGCGCGGCCGGGGACCTCCCAACGTGATGTGTGTGGAGTGGAAGCCGCCACCCGGGCCTCGAAGAACTAGGGAGTGCGGCGGTGGGATACACAGTTCCTCCCACGCAGCCCGGCGGCAGGCAGAGAGGGCGGGCCTCCCGGCTCTGGTTCCTCACTTCCTGTGCTCGCCTCGGAATTCAGGCGCGTCTGCGCTGTCGAACCGCAACTCTCTTCCGTTTACACGTACACAGACTCGGGGAGGGCGACGATGTGGAATATAGCACATATGGGTAACCCCAATGTTTCTGAGAGAAAGGACTTCTGGAGAAAATATCTTCAGGTTTTTCAAAAAGGAAGCCGCAATTTTTCCGAGTCAGTAACATAGTGACCCAAGTCTCGACTTTCGTTTTCTCGCTGGGATAGTGAAGTGTTCGAAAACTCGCTGAAAAAGGAAACCTTGCTAGACAGCCTACTCTCTCCCGACCGCCTCCTCCCCTTTGGGGAGTGGAGCTTGTTCTGGGCTCCAAGCCTGTGCGGAGCGGGGCACTGGGCTCGACTCCATGGTCTTCCCCCACCGCCCTCGGCCGGGCTCGGGCTCCGGCGGCCCTCGGGAAGGGCTCTCGCGGTGGGTCGGCACAGCCCGGGCGTCGGCGGAGGCAGGCGGAGGCAGGCGGCGCTTCCCGCAGTTTGTAATGGGCTCTGCCACAATCCCTGCAGCAGAGCCGCACTTGCGCAGTAGCGCGTAAGAGGAAGCGGATCTGCTTAGCGTGGTTTATTCGGGTAGTCGGGACTGCGGCGAGACGATACTTGAACCGAATTACCGCAGGGGTTAGGGTTACTGGAAGGGGGGTTGTCCAGTAAGGGTTTAAAACGGTAAGAAATAGGTGGAAGGCCCCAGCGAGATTTGAACTCGCGACCCCTGGTTTACAAGACCAGTGCTCTAACCCCTGAGCTATAGGGCCCCGCGAGCGATTGCCTTGCTTCTTTCTTTGAAAAGGCAAGTTTTTATGCTGCGCCTTTGTTAGAGGAATTAAGTGCAAGAAGTAAACAAAATCCGAACTTCGTTTCAATCTATTTACTCTTGGAATTTGGTCTGCAGGCTCTTGCTAGGGATAACGCAATATGAGGGCCAGTGATAACAGCCACCACTATTTTAAGATTGGAGAACTCTGCCTAACCCAACACGTTATAACACAGAGTCCACCTCACCCCTCCCTCCGCCGCCGGCCGCAGTCTAAAAATTAAGAGGAGAGACGCGGCGTAGAGGAAGCTGACTACCACAGGTCTCTCAGCTGAAACTGGGCCTTCCCACTGATTTTCTCCTTGACTCAGGATTGCCACCGACTTTCAAGTTCCTTAGGTGTAGGGACCTTTCTTACAGCTCGAGTCTCTGCGCCAGAGCAAGCATTTGTTAATTCGTTATTTAATTCATTCGTTCATGCAACAAACACTGAACTCCCAATTCTGTGCTGGGCTGTACACTAGGAACAAGGCATCAGATACGGTCTTTAACTTGAAGTCCCTGTCATAGTCTTGTGGACTAAGAGAACTTTAGTTTTTATGAAAGAGAACAGTGAAAAGTAGCTGTGCCTGCTGTGAGCGGCTGGTGGACAGAGCCAACCTTCGCAGATTTGCAATGTGAGCCGTCACAGAGGCAGTCCTTCAGGTGGGGGTGGGGTTTGAGCTGCACTTGAGAGGTTAAGACACAAGTTTGGGGGCCGAGTGACCTCTGGTAGAAGAAAATGTATGAGCAGAGTCTGAAAGAAAAACCGAGGCTTAAGGAGCTGAGGCAGAACACCAGCTGGGGCAGATATCTGCCCTCCTGGAAATAAGGGAAGGTAAGAAGTCAGGTTAATAGGGGACTGAGAGATTTCTGGAATGAAGTTGCACCCCTTTAAAAAATTGCGACTGGACATTGAACACTACATGGGAACTCTATGTACTCTATGTTGGCTAATTGAATTTAAATTTTTTAAAAAATTGAAAACCGAAACTCACCAGGCATGGATATGCAGAATGAATTGAAGGGAAGAGAAACCAGAGTCAGAGGTACATCAGAGATTAGCCATGGTGCAGACGCTCAAATAAAGCTGCAAGAGGGTCAAGTTATGGACCTGGAAAGGAAGGAAGGAATGAGGAAACTAGAGGGAAGGCAGATTTGGCTGAAGTTAGATATGAATAAAGAGTAAGTAAGAGATAATAAAGATGAAAGAGTCAGGGAGGACTCTCAAATATTATACCTTGAAAAAGCAAGATGATGTTTGCAGGAAAAAAAAAAAGAAAGTCTAAAGGAGAGATGGGTACCTGAAAAAGGCAGAAGATGAAGTGCAAGGACTTAGGTAGGCTGGATTTGAAGTGAGATTGGGGGAGTTTATGGGAATTGTGCAATAGCTAGAATACTCTTGTGTCTAGAAGTCCATAAGATTGGTAAATCATGGTTAGATCAAATTACATAAATTATCCATTGAGGTAGAGCCTCTAAGAGTTAGGGGCGCTTGAAGGAAGAGAGTACAAAAGGAAAACTGCTGAGGCCTGAACATGAGCTGAATAGCTCTGTTGTGAGCATTTGTCCTATGAGTGGATTTCCAATATTTTTTGAATATTGTCCTCACATTTGGTAATTTCACATATTATAAGTAAGTCTGTCCTAGAAAATTTGCTTTCCCAGCTAGCAGCTGGGAGTGGGCATGTGACCTAGGTTCCACCAGTTAGACTCATCCAGGGAAGATTTCAATTTGGATGTATAAAACAGGAGTGAATGATACCATAGGGAAATCCCATATTTTTTCAGTGGTGAGATATGGGATTTCTTAAATTTGTAGATCATTGTCTTTCTTCAGGTCTGGAAAATTCTTGGTCAGCTTTTCAAGTGTTGTTTTGCTTTATTTTTCTTTCTCCATTTATGAAACTGGAGTTAAACCTTCATACCTTGCCCTTCATTTCTTTTACCTTCTCTTCCGTATTTTCTTTTTGTCTCTCCATGCTGCATTCTGAATAACATATTCTTAATCCAGTAATGCTTGCTACGGGTATGTTTAATCAGCTGTTAAATCCACCCACTGAGTCAATGTAATTATAAACCGTAATTTTCAATTCTAGAAGTTCTGATTCTTTTTCAAAACTTTGAAGCCAACATTTTTTCCAGTTTTATTGAGATATAATTGACATACATCCCTGTAT